TTTCACGCCTATTTCTACCGTAGATAGTAATGTTCCCATTAAAATGCGAACTTTTCTACAGAAATTGGCAAAAATACGGCCAAAAACTGTTTTATCCATCACCGATCTCCGCACTTTGCCTACTCCTTTGGCTCTTTAGCCGCTCTCCCGATTCAGCGCGCTCTCTCCTCAGCAAGGATTGTTGAATAACATATTTAACGATCTCATGGCCAGACCTTCAAAGCGTGAGTAAAACTTTCAACATTTGATGTCTACACGACTCATTATGTAAGAAACGTTCCTTGCCATTTCAAAATGCGTACACATGTTTACTCTATGCGTCACGCCGCAGCTTCAATTGAACGATTAACCTTTGAATTTGCCTATAGACTCTCATCCGTCCAATTTCGCACATGACTTTTTTTCATAAAGGTCACACAATTCCAGATTGACGATATAGTAGCTCTGGTAAACAAAATGCGTAATCCCATGCATGCAAATCAGAGGAGTCTGCAGACGCTACGTGTATTATATACAGACAATTATAGGATGAAATTTTGTGGATTTACAAAGGCTCTCGAACTACCGTACAAAGCGTATCCGATTAGAAAACCGGATTGGAGACAGGGCAAAGGTCGAAGGATTTGTCTTGCGGATAATGCTGGACTAAAAATACAGTGAAATTGGGGCTACAGTAAAACCTCTGATTCTGCATTTGCTGTAGAAAAATGTCTGACTTCGCCATAGTCGTGCACCAAATCTATAGCGGCAGCTAGACATTGCAAAGCGATGATTAGCGAGTCCAAGGCGCAAAGTATCCACATTGTTTTCCCGACAGGACTGATATGTATGTGAGCAAAATTTTGAAATGTTTTCGCTTCGGGAGAAGTTCTCCAAAAAATTCCTTTCCCCAAGTCCCATTTCAAACATTTTTCAAATTCACCAAAAAACTCTTTTTTCCCAGTCCCGAAGCGAAAGTACTAAACGGTATCGTTGACCCGAAATGTCGTTGACCCGAGGTGTCGTTGACCCGAAGTGTCGCGACCGAGTTGTCCCTGACCCGAAACGTCGTAGCGCCTTACAAAATCGCAAGGCGCCTAAACGTTTCCCTTACAGAGAGGCTTCCTTAGGCCGAGACCAATTTTTGACTGAAAATTTATTTTTCGATGTTTGCAAAACTTCAGAGAGCGCTTCGCTTGTAGGATTCTACCGAATTTCATAAACGTTCTGTAAGTTTTTTGTTGGCTATGTTTTTTTTTGTTTTTACCCAGTTGTTTTTCACAAAGCCTCAAGTGCTCAAGTTTTCTTTGAATTTCACTCATCTTTGGGCATACGCGGAAAGTATTAATTTTTGTAGGAACATTGCCCTTTACGGTACAAATATACGTGAAACTTTTCAAGGCAAATCCGCAAACAAAACTGTCGCATTTTTTCAAGGTTTCGGCTCAAAAAACCTCGGTCGTTTCTACAAATCGAGGATTAGGAGTCTTGTGTTTGACTTGGAAAAAATCAGTCTAAATCTGCGCCCTGTAGCATCGAAATATGAGCGTTTCCCCTGTCAATATCGTCTCTATCACACCTCCCCGGCTTCTCCATTCTTACCCATCTTCACTGCTCGCGATAAATTGATTACAGCAAAAGCCTTTGCGACATTATATGAAGGAAACAACAACGATGAGCTCAAAGGGTAAACAACACGCCAAAAGAATACATATTAACAGGTGACGCACGTCAAAAAAACTTGGCATTCGGCACGTTTTACATTCATAATATTCAAAACATTCACAAAATCTAAGAGCTCCCAAGAACAAGAGAGCATTCCATAAATATGTAACAGATCATTACCATCTTCTTAAAGCCATCATGGAGCTTTGAAAAGGATTTTGAAATAGACAAGACAACAATTGGAGGAATATTAGCCGGTATCGTAGTCACTCATTTCCACCCTCAACTCGCGTCATCCGAGGAGAAAACGTGGGTGGAAATTCGTGCGATACGCTTAATTTTTGATGCTTCGAATTTCTGCAAAAATTTATATTCAACGTAAGCGTATTTTAAGAACTAATCTTCCCTGGAAAATTTCTAAAAATGTTCTGGATTTTTAAGATGGTTTTTATGAGGAGCATAATGGATTTATTAATCAAAGGAAAGAGAATTTTAGATGTAAAGTTTAGGGTCCAAGTTTAGAGATTAGTAGATGAAAAAATGCAACAGTCCACAACAAGGAAAAGAATATGTAATGCAGAGTAAACTATGTACATATAGTATTATATGAAAAACTGAAACAAAAAAAAATGTTTGTTATAGCCTCTACGAACCTCTACGAAGGTTCACATTAGCATAGCATGAGTAAATTGAAAGAACTGGACGTCAACTAGTATCAGGTCACAAAGGTCTTGGTTCCGGACCTCACTCTGATTTACTAAAGATGATTTGTCAACAATAAAAGCCGACTCGGTGGATCTTGATAGAGAGTAATGTGGCTCCCCGGGTTTTTATAGAAAAACCCTTGGAGCCACACAGCGCAAGCGTTTTTCAAAAAAATTCCCTGAAATTCTGTGATTGGAAGTTTTTTGCCAAATCCTGCGCTGTGTGGCTCCCCGAGTTTTCTTATGAAAACCCGGGGAGCCACATTACTCTCTCTTGATACTACCAAAAGCAGCCGAATAGGCCGTCAGATAACTCCCTTCTGACGCCCAAACTTTCCCCAGGCATACTCAATAAATACACTAGAATCAACCACGAAGGGACAAATAGTATTTTCATTTCCTACGCTAGGTAAAATACGTATACGAGAACGCAAAAAAAATGTAAACACCAATGTTTTAAGAAGGTTAACGCTAGGCGTGAACCTCGGACACTTTGCCAATCGGATCGATCTGGTCGAAGAGTTGGATGGGCTTATATAGCATTCAGAAAAGGCGGTCCTTTGATCTTCGGGGGTCCTCATTGGCCCAGAAGGACATGGAGAATGCTAAGCCCTCTTGGCTTGATCACTAACCTCTCATCAAGGTACTGGTGAGCCAGGCCATACGGTTTATTTAATTTAGTGAATGAGGGAAGTCCCCATTCTTAGTTCAGCGAACTTGCGAGATTCTAGGTCTACCCACTTTGTGGAAATATTTATTAGTTCCTCTGTATTCTAATAACTAATTTTTGGCCTCTTGCAATCGTATGTGCAAGTGCGAGGAAAATAATAAACACAAAAACACCAAGAAGGATTTCTAGGGACCGGCTTAAATTGGGGGACTTCCTTGTCTCTGAAATTTCCAAGGAAGTAAAAATAATGACAGGAGAATTGAATAGACAATGAAGAAGACCTTTTTCCAAAAACAACATACATAGTAAAATATTAATGGCATCCGCGACAAGCACTACACACGACATAAAGTCAGACAGCTTGCACTGTAATCTTCGTCGTTTTTTGTGTTCGTCGCCGCAACTTTTCGTTTTAGCCAAGCGACTGTCAGCGCCTCAAAATTTCAATTGCGTAGGAACTTTATGGTGCAAGGAATATGCTAGCAATACGAATTTACAGTCAACATTCTGTACAAAAAAATCGTTCTTTATAGAAAAGTCGCATTGTATGGATAGTTTTGGAGCTCAAATTGGTCCTTGGAACCTGTGAAATTGTTCGTTAAAATCCAGGTGATTTTTGTAGAAGTCTGTATTACATATGCCATATATAACGCTTGACTATAGCAACATGTATAAAGTAAAAGACAAACAAAAACTAATCTCTAACGTACGACAATTTCGGGGTCTTCTAAACCCCTACCTTCGGCGCAAAATACTTCGGAAAATAAATAGCAAACTTGGAGCGAGAATGCAACTGTAAAAACAGTGTGCCGGTGTAACTCACACGTCAGTTCCGAACGTCTTTACGCATTGTCATCAATAAAACGCATCGGCACGAGAGGAAATATAAATGTCGTGGAACATTGTAACATTGGTAGTTCCTAGAAAGCTTTAAAAAATTTCATCAGGCGTTCTTCGAATTCACGTCTTTGTAGAGTGATTTTGGATTTAAAAACTGGGATTTTGGACCTATATAACAACTGAGGTATCCCAAATGCGACGCCCTCAATTTCGTTTATAATTTTGCACACACGTCTGGCATAGGCTGCATGTCAATGCCTGAAAGTCTTAGCTGGCGCCTTGCAGCAACAGTCGAGAAATTTAACAATCTTTACCGCCAAGAAAGCATGTGATACGAGGAGTGCGGTCAGAGATAAAAGAACTTTTTTTGGCGATATCTTTGCCACTTCCAAGCGGAAAAAAAAATGATTTTTTTTGTGGAGACGTTACCTTTCTCGGTAGAAACAGATAATATATCCTGACATTATCACAATTTTCATGCCAAAACTTATCAAAAAGTCTCAATTTTTTCCCAACTTAAAACCTAAATATCTTGGCCGTTTCTGCAAATCGCAAGCTTGGATTCTCAGATAACACTAACAAAAAATTCATCGACACGTGTGCCACGTAAACACGAAAGCGGGGGAACAGTTTCAATTATTTATCGCCGGTAGTCCGTAAAGAGCGAATCCGTATTTTTGGTTACACAAATTGCGTGACACTGTGGGATTACAGCGGTCCGTATAGTGCATTTAATTGTGTTTCTTTCAATTCCGCCGGTAGTTTGTGTCGTAGGGGAAATCGATGCCTTTTTTACGTCCTTTCCATATATACATACTAATACAAAATCAATAAAATTGGTCGATTCGAAGATTCCGATGTTTTTCGTAGGGCATAGCTCAATTTTTTTGCCAAATCGGTTTTCTACTGGTCAACCACTTCGCCACGATGGCTATCGTCACATTGAGACGATTATTAAAAACGATGGAACCTGGAAAATCCAAATAAAAATTGGCCGATATTACCGTAATTCATTTTGCAGCATTCGTTACAAAAAAACCGATGCAAGTTCGAGGCAATTTATTTTATCAAATGAAATCATATACAGTCTGAATATTGCAAATAAAAAGGTTGTCGAGCAGTAGTGGTCCCGATCTTCTCCATCAACAGTGATGTCTGGAAAAAGTTTTTCAGATTGGCCACCAATAAATGAGAAGTCAATGCAAGCTGCGCCCAGGAAAAAAACTGAAGCCTCAGCGCTAAGTCTGAGCTTGGGCTGACAAGGGAAGTACCCCAAGTGCGACGCTCAGATTTTGATGAAACTTGGCACAAATTTAACAAGGAAAGTACTTCTATGGGGTGTGGAATTACCGGTCGAGATATATATCAAAAAATTCGCAAAAATTTTCTGATTCAGAATATATATAAATTAGCTGCCTAATTTTGGTCTAATGACATGTTTTTGTCCTCAGAAGTTTTCTCGCGACACCATGCAAGTGTCTTTTTGACCGTGTTTTTACCAATAAAAAAATTTTGTTTTGTGCTAAACTAAATTCTGAAGCCTTGACAAGCCTTAAAATATCAAATTGGATTACAACTACACCTTAAAAGTAGTTCCAACGTAAAAAATGGGTTCTAGTGTGGCAAAAAGAATCGAACCCGTTCGCCTCGGATTTCCAATCTAGCGGTCTAACCACTCGGCCCAGCGCTCGGTCTCTTCCGAAGGAAGAGACCGAGCGCGCTTTTGTGCCACCGATTTTTTTCCTCGAGAAAAACATTTATTGAAAAAAACTCGCTGATAGACCAAAATTAGGCAGCTAATTTTTATATATTCTGAATCAGAAAATTTTTGCGAATTTTTTGATATATATCTCGACCTGTAACTCCACACCCCATAGAAGTACTTTCCTTGTAAAATAATCTTTTCTAGGATATATGCGAGAATCCTAGCTCGCGCTTTGCAAAAACAGCCGAGATTTTTAGATCGAAAGTTGGCAAAAAATTGACACTTTTTGCCGAATTTTGGCACGCAAAGTTTCATATCTAATTGTACTGCTGAGAGTAGTGTTTCCAGAAAAAATGAAAATTTTTCATCCGAAATTGGCAAAGAGTTTCATGCCTATTTCTACCGTAAAGGATAATGTTTCCTGAAAAATTAAAATTTTTCATCCGAAGTTGTCAAAGTTAGGGTCAAAAAGCGTTTTTCTCTCTGACCGCTCTCCGCGTTTTGCGTATTCTCTCAGCCGCAAAGATCGTTGGATATCTCGGCTGGAACTGCAAAGCGCGAGCTAAAACTTTCAGGGGTTTATATCTAGTCTATGCCCGAAATGTGTGCAAAATTTAAAGCAAATCTGAGCCTCGCACTTGGGGTACTTCCGCTGAACTAATCTGAGCCCAACTAACTTTTCATTGTATAAAATGTCTTTCGCAGCTCGCGCCCCTTTAATTTCCTCAAGATTTGATTTTTTTTGGGTGTGGCTAATCTGTGGAACTTTTACCCATGTCTGTAGGCGCCCAGAACGTGACGGCAGTTGGAGCATATATGCTGGACCTCTTGCAAGTTGTCGCAGCAGCAGAACGGGATCAGAGAGCAAGGCCATAGTCCGATAACGCACAGGAGGAAGCAAACGATCCAAGCCATTTCCGTGGAACGGTGGCGAGTTACCGTCACCACATTATGGCCGCAATATGGGCATCTGACCGAGGCCGGATGCATTCCATACACATATGCTGGGACCAACATGTCGAGGAGGAAAGCGGGAAATCGACCGCTCGATGGTGGAAAATTGGAATGAATCTTTGAAGGTTAAAATTCCAAAAAACTTTTTTTTGAAATTTATTTTTTGAATTTTCAAAAACTATTTTTTTTTTTATTTTTTTGCGTCAAAAAAGACTTGACAAAAAAAACTTTTTCTACGACTACTGTATTCTTTTTTTTGATTTTCCAAACGAGTTGGAAATTGCATCCAGTTCCTCAAATTGCAGGATCTCTTTTTTTTTCTTTTGTCCATTTGAAAATTGCGAAAAACGAAAAGAAAAAACGGAAAATGAGCCGAGTCGAAGAGAAGAGTGGACGGTAGGAGCCGTTGATTGCGTAAACGCAGCCTCTTTTCGTTTGTTTTCGGTACACGCAAGTAACTTTTTCTAAACATTACTTACATTTTTACGGATTTCTTGAGGTTTCGGATGACGTATTTTTTTTACGAATCCGTTTTGAATAAAAAAGTTTTCGGATTTTGATGAGATTTGACACATATTTTGAGTAACATTTTTGATGACATTTCCAGTATTTTTCCTTTGCAGTTTGCAGGAAGGACCGAGATTTTGAGTTTGAAATATCAACAATTTTTTTTTCAAAATGAATGGTGTGGCATTCTATTTTAACGACAGTGGAACCTCTATACCACAAGCTCCTGTACAAGAAAACCTGTCTATAACGATCAATTGCTATATGACTCAAAAGTCATTTCTAGGCCAAAATGACGCTCCGAACAACGGAACCCTTCTATAACGCATAAATTTGTTGTAAAGGAGTTCAGCTGTGCTAGCAAGGGTTTTTGACAGATCCCGCCAAAAATTGGCCGCTTTCTTATAAAATCGCCTTATCGTTGATGTCGGGAAAATAGTGGGGTCGTCGCAGCAAAATTTTTCGCCTAAAAAAGGGTGCAGCCGCGCACCAAATTCCCAGCTGGAACTAGCCGTCGCAAAAGCGATGATGGACAATTCCAAGGCGCTACGAATCCACAATATTTTCCCGACAAACTGATATCTTCCCTGTTTTGCCCATATTTGGCTGCTTTCTTTTCCCCCACAAACATTTTGACCAATCTCCCAATCCATTTCCCTCCAAATTCCTGGGATTTACGACTTTTTTACTGGTTCTGAACCCTGCCGCCCTAAAACAACTCATATTTCCATATCCGACGCTACTCCCCTGGAAAACGAATCCAGTTCTTTTTATACTATTCGAATAAAAAATTTTTACGTTTCCTGACGCTTTTCGCACTCGACTCTTGCAGCGGCGATTCATCAATTTTGTAAAGACGGCGGAGAGGGGGGAATCTTTTGTTTCCGCTTTAAGCGAACCGATTACTTGACATTCGACCGCCATTTCGCATGGCTTTGAATAAATTTTTGACAGAATTTTTCAACTGTTTCTCGGGGCTGAAGAAGCGATTCGGAGAAAAGTTCCGAGAAGCGATTTGAAGGCGAAAATTGCTGTGTTTTTACAGTCAAGTCTCTGTACAACGAATCGCAAGGACCTAAAAAAAATTATTTGTTATAGAGAGGCTTTGTTTTATAGAGGTGTGTTTTGGCCTAAAAATGAGTTTTAGGGCCCCTGAAATTGATTGTTATAGAGAGTTTTTTAAGCGGAAGTTCGTTATACAGAGGTTTTACTGTAATTGGCTTTAAATTTTTGTTTGTGAGGAAATTTCAAAAATTATGGATTTTCAACTTTTTCAAAATTTTTTTTATACATTTTCTGTATATTTATGGCGCTTCAATCTACATACTTATCCCCTCAAAAATTTTTCTTATTATTATAATTTTTCTGATCCAATACCACACGTTTTACACTTGTTTCTATGGCCATACCCCCGAAAAACACAAAAGTCGCCCCCTGGTGATTTGTCGCTCGTAAATCTCCTCGTAAACCGAATTCCCGCAACTTTGACTCATCCGCATTTCCGAAATCTCCTCCGAAAGTCAGTTGTCTACAAAAAAAGCGGGCCGGTAAAACAATTGCGCATTTATCGCGGGTTTTATTGGATTGGGGGGATTTGATAGGAATGGGTGAAGGAAAGGACCGGCAAGATGGGATTTTGGAGGTCTTGGACAAGAGTTTTTTCCCCATCAAGTTCTTGATTATCATCAAAATTTGGAGATTTTGCTATACAAAGGTTTGTTGTAGCAAGAAAAATCTCATCAAATTCTCCGACATTCCGACCAAAGGAATCCCGGCCCATTCCGTTGTCCCAGTCGTTCCAGTGGGCCATAAAATTGTCGCTTTTTTGATTGGAATTTGATTGTCGGTGCATTGCGCTCCCTTTTCGACATTTTTCCGTTCTGCCCTTTGATTTTTCGCATTTTATTTGGCCACATTGTGGCCTATTCATCCTTATTTTCGAGAAAAAATCGGATCATTGTTCTTTAGAGATACTGAAATGGCGCGAATTATGATTTTCCTGGGTTATTTATAAAAGTGAAGTACCACAAGTTCAACGCTCGTATTTTCTTTTGATTTTGCATAGAATTTGGGCATAGGTCAAATACCAATTCCTGAAACTTTTAGCTTGCGCTTTTCAGGTGCCACCGAGTTATTAAGCAACCTTTTTTGCCGAGAGAGTACGTGGAACGCGGGGAGTGGTCAGAGAGAAAAGCACTGTTTGGCCATAAATTTGCTAGTTTTGCTGGGAAAAAAGTAATTTTTTGTGGAAAAAATATTGTTTACAGTAGAGAAATGTATGAAACTTTTCATGTCAAGATTTGCGAAATACTGTAATTGTTTTGTCAATTTTCGGTCTCAAAATTTCGATTTTTTTTTTGCACGGCGCGAGCTAGAATTTTGCCATTTACCTTACAAAAACTTGCTCTAAATTTGTGCCGGGTTTCATCTAGATCTGAGCGTCACACTTGTGACATTTCTCCTGTTAGCTATATAATACATATATGTACAGCATCTTTGTTATTCGGAACTCCCCCTCTAATGTAAATGCTAATTGAATTTCGCTCATTTTCTATTTATCCCCAATCTCATTAGGCGTCGGTGGCAATGGCGATTCGCCGTTTTCATGAGCTCAGGGAAATAATAATTTGATTACTCTCCGCGAATGCAATCGGGGATTATTATGGCCTGGGGAGTGGTTTCGTAACGGTCAAGTTTTTGGGTGTTTCTTCATGGATTGCCTGGGGTTTTTATGGTGTTTAGGGATTTTGGTTGCAATTAAAGGCGTTGAAAATTTTTGAGAAATCTTAGGGCTGTTTTTGCGGCACATTCCTTGTATTTTTTTGTAAGTTTTCGATTTACGACAAACGTTTTAGTCATACTTTCCTTGCTTTACGTTGCATCCTTCTTTTAGACTTGATGATTCGAAATATTAGTCTTTTTTTGGCCACCAGTGGGCTTGAATCAAACATCTGGAAGCTCCTTAGTCCTAACCAACGTTTTTTTTATGGGAATTGCTTTCTATTATTAAAATCCCGTACAGCGCAAGCTAACTAAAATAGGCAACTTTAAAGTTCACAAAAAATAGATTTAGCAAATTGGAAGGCTAAAACCTCAGTACAACGAAGCCTTTTATAACCAATACATTTTTTGGCCCTTTATTTGTTGTACGGAGATTTTACTGTATTTCAAACCTACTAATTCAAAGCCTGGATTCCATTTCCATCCAAATTCCAGTTGCCTAACAACCGCAACTCCAAGTACTCCCAAATTCAAATCCAGTCGATCCGAAATGGGCTCGCTTTAATGGCTTATAAATAAAATTTGGGCCGGTCACTTCTTGCGCCGTATTTTTGGCCAAACAAGACCTGGCCCCCAAATGGACTCGGTTCATAAGGCTGCACGCCTTAAATGAAGCTTGTTTTCTTCTTCACTGCACATTGATGCGGCGTCTGTATTTGGGGGGCATTTTGATTAGAGGGTGGCTTCTAAAATTAGGTCGTACTCTTGCGCGATGTGACAGCTCTGTTTTTTGATATTATATTTTCTCGTCTCAAAGTTTGAGATTATAATGAGGTTTTTCCATAATGAAACTAATACTTTTTTCTGTCTGGTTTGCAAATTGTACACAGTTATATACAGTCTGAATCTTTACTTTCCTGGCTCCATTTTGCCCTATATTTCAGTCCTACAGCCCAAATTCACAACGTCAGTACCATACATGTGACGCTCAGATCTTTTTTAAATTCTGTATACCCCTCAGGCATAGGATACGTATCAATCTCTGAAAATTTTAGCTCGCGCTTTGCAGGGGCAGCCGAGATATTCAACGAACTTTTACGGCCGATAGAGTCCACGATCCGCAGATAATGTGGCTGGCAAAGCTGCGGCTGGAAGTCATTTTCAGCCACATCTTTGCCAGTTTTGAAAAAAATTGATTTTTTGTGAAAACGTTGCCCTCTACGGTAGGAATAGTTATGAAATTTTTTATTCCAAAATTTGCAAAAAAGTGTCAATTTTTTTTTCAATTTTTGGCCTAAAAATCTCTGTCATTTCTGCAAAGCGAAAGCTGTAAAACCCACATGTATCTTACAGAAATTAATCTTGAATTTGTACCAAGTTTCACTAAAATTTGATGCTTCCCCCCACCAGCTTTTAATTACCCCTAACCTCCTCCATAAAGGTTTCGCGTTTCCAAGAAATTCTAAAAAAAGGACCTTGTTTTTCTCCCGTATATTTTCACCTTTCCCATTCTTGCATAATTTCCCCTTCCCAAAGCATTGAAAACCGAGACGCAAGCGCATTTCCACTCGCCCGTTTATCGAGCTCGGAAGTGCGAAAAAACGATTTCCAACCTTCGGAATTTTAAGTGAAAATGACCATGGATTGATGACAAGCGTGAAGAGCGGTGCGGGAAAATAAACGGAGGCTTATATTATCGAAAGGGGGCAGGGGTGTTGGATAAGCGCGCTGAGGGATGGGAATGTGATTCCAATGGGCGATGTGATACGATACACGATGATTTGTGGTGTTGTGTGTTGATTTTATATGAACTGTTCAGATTTTAATGAAACTTG